GAACTGCACAGGTGTTAGAGAACATCTTCATAAATATTGTTGCTTATAGGGAAGGCCTACATAAACATTATATGTTCAGAGAAAAAATGTTGCTGATTATTGCTTTTATATTTATGCTGAAAAGGCATAACTATGAATTTCCATTGCCTGGTATCATTCCAATTGTAAGTATACATCTTTTTGCCTATTTTTATTCTCTTTGACCTTTCAAAGTTCATTTTATTAGTCACGAAGAAGGGTTTGTTAAGAATCTTGTTTTCTTACTTGCTCAGTATGGAATAACATGGATCTCATGTTCAAGCATGGCACATACTTTGCCCGTTTTCCCAGTTGCTCTCTGGAGCTTAACTGCTGAAAAAAAACCCAGTGCTTTTGAATTTATAGAATTTTTCCAATAAATTCCATGGTGGTTGGTGAATGGTTCATTTCTAGGTACTATACTGAAGATTTCAAGTCCATGCAATGCAGCTACATCATACATTTGTCTTTGCAGATCCCTGTAAACCTAATTAAATTTTTCTCAAGCAATAGATGAAAGCTCTGGTCTGCCAGTTGGGGGTCTTTCTGGTTTGGGATACTTTGCAATGATAACTCATGCCCTCATCATCTTATTAATGGAATTTACATGGGTTTTTAATGAATAGTAATTCAGGAGCTGCAACTAATTCAAAATGCAGTGGCCTGGGTGGGAGTAGATTTATTAGTGTTTTGCCTCGTGCTAAAGTCGCTGCCCTGAGTACCAAGACGTTTCTAGATTCAATTCAAGATGTTAGTTTTGTAGCCTACATGAACATTCTCTCCTGACCTGAATCAGCTCTTTGAAGATCTACTTCAGATTTCTTTGCCATCTAAGGTAAAAAGTGGGAGCCTGGAGTTTCAAAGTTTCCAAACGTCCACATTATGGAATATCTTGCCCTCCAATATGGTGCTCTCCACCTTGCAACCTATTTTGATCAGTTTTGGTTCAGATGGTAGAGTTGGGCTACACTTGTAATTGTCTAATTTTCTTAGGTTTGGATGGATATTTTTTCAAGTGAAAGATCTTGAATGCTTCAGAAAGGAAAATAGAGTAACATTTTATCATTAAAGATGTATAAAATTGGTGGCGAAGTGCATAGTCCACCTCATTTATTCTTTTTTTTATATTCAAATGTTTTATTTTCATTTTTTCATTTTCATTTCATACAGTCACAT